ACCATATCAAACAAATACAGTATGTTTTACATATACATAGAAACGTATTTCTTCAATGACCAAAATATCCTGCAAGTACAAACTAAAATCTTTGAAAGTACAAAAACAAAATTCTACACGTACAAAACAAATTCTACAAGTAGGGCCTACAAAGCAAAATTTCTACAAGTACAAAGCAAAATTCTACAAGTACAAAACAAAATTCTACAAGTACAAAACAGAATTCTACAACTACAAAACAGAATTCTACAAGTACGAAAAACTGTCACGTGACTTTTGGCACTATTTTTCCGCGTCCAGGCAGAATCAGATTTTCTCACAAATACAGTGGAACAACTTCCTCTTCTAGAACAGTAGATGGCGCTAAGATAAGGGATCAATTTGCTCGCCTTTGCCCATGGGAAAATGAGCGGTGAACAGGTGTGTTTCTGTCCAACTTTATCTATAATTAACCTTATTGAGGTTTTGGAAAATGTTTATTATATAGACAGAAATCCACATTAGCACTTAGTAGTAACGTAGGCTACTCCACTCTAGGATAAGGGAATCTAAGCTGAAAGCTGCCATCATGTTGCTTTTACTTTTTGTAAAAATGTTTCATTTACTGAATGACTCTATTTCTTTCGTTCTCCATAAATTAATGAGAACATTTCATTTAATTGAAAGGGTCCCACTTATTCATTAATTTTGTTGGAATTCAGTCAGCGTAACTGTTAATGTAATAAAATAATGAATGAACAAAGAACAAATCAAACAATATACAGTTGTTTCTTCCCTGTGATGTATTGTCCAAATTATTATTTTGGACAGACAAATGAAACCCTCCTTTCAATTAAATTAAATGTTTTCAATATTAAGAACGAAACGAAAGTAATAGATTCGTTCAGTGTATGTATACATAATCACTACTTTAGTCATTTCACACGCGTCTTGTAGGCTAGATTATTAATCCTGGCGCGTTCACGGCGAAGATCGCGAGTCAACATTGTCAACTTCATGTTTTCAGCCGACACACTGACAAAGATACAGTTGTTTATTAATAAACAATTAAAATATCATCTTGCTATATTTTACATAGCCTATTCATAATCTTTTGCCGGTTCTTTGTGACAGCTTTAAGGTGCTTTATTGGCAGTGCCACCCTACATGTTACACGTGTCACCACCGCATCACCGCACCCACCAGAATAGCCCAGTTTAGTAAACAGAATTAGATGGCCACAATTCTTACACTTCTAAAAGGCAATTCAATGCGGATGTAATCCCTCAGATTGAGTAGCTAATGTAATGGAATACGTTACAAATGACATTTTGGGGCATTTATTCTGTAACGAAATACGTTTTCCCAACACTGCCTACTTACAGCTGAGGAAAGTGAGCGGTGAACGGTGTGTTTCTGTATTACTTTATATAATTAACCTTATTGAGGTTTTCTTTTGCAAAATGTTAATTATTTCTTGACAAAAAATCCATATTACCGCTATTAGCACTTCACTCTCTCTAGGGGAATCTAGGCTGAAATCTATGTCATATGTTGCTTTAAAAAATAATATTAGGCTAATAATCTACATAAGACGCGTGTGAAATGACTAAATTAGTGATTATGTTCACTGAACGAATCTATTACTTTCGTTCTCCATACATTAATGAGACCATTTAATTTAATTGAAAGGAGGGTTTCATTTGTCTGTCCAAAATAATAATTTGGACAATACATCACAGGGAAGAAACAACTGTATATTGTTTGATTTGTTCATTCATTATTTTATTACATTAACAGTTACGCTGACTGAATTCCAACAAAATTAATGAATAAGTGGGACCCTTTCAATTAAATGAAATGTTCTCATTAATTTATGGAGAACGAAAGAAATAGAGTCATTCAGTAAATGAAACATTTTTACAAAAAGTAAAAGCAACATGATGGCAGCTTTCAGCTTAGATTCCCTTATCCTAGAGTGGAGTACGTTACTACTAAGTGCTAATGTGGATTTCTGTCTATATAATAAACATTTTCCAAAACCTCAATAAGGTTAATTATAGATAAAGTTGGACAGAAACACACCTGTTCACCGCTCATTTTCCCATGGGCAAAGGCGAGCAAATTGATCCCTTATCTTAGCGCCATCTACTGTTCTAGAAGAGGAAGTTGTTCCACTGTATTTGTGAGAAAATCTGATTCTGCCTGGACGCGGAAAAATAGTGCCAAAAGTCACGTGACAGTTTTTCGTACTTGTAGAATTCTGTTTTGTAGTTGTAGAATTCTGTTTTGTACTTGTAGAATTTTGTTTTGTACTTGTAGAATTTTGCTTTGTACTTGTAGAATTTTGCTTTGTACTTGTAGAATTTTGTTTTGTACGTGTAGAATTTTGCTTTGTACTTGTAGAATTTTGCTTTGTACTTGTAGAATTTTGTTTTGTACTTGTAGAATTTTGCTTTGTACTTGTAGAATTTTGCTTTGTACTTGTAGAATTTTGTTTTGTACTTGTAGAATTTTGTTTTGTACTTGTAGAATTTTGCTTTGTACTTGTAGAATTTTGCTTTGTACTTGTAGAATTTTGTTTTGTACGTGTAGAATTTTTTTTGTACTTTCAAAGATTTTAGTTTGTACTTGCAGGATATTTTGGTCATTGAAGAAATACGTTTCTATGTATATGTAAAACATACTGTATTTGTTTGATAGGTACGTTTTTTATTTGCAGAACAATATGCATTAGTTTGTGAGTGATGTTTTGTATTTACAAACCACACTGAGTTTGTTTGTGAATCATTGGGTGTGAGTAAAACACGTTTTGTTTGTGTGTGCGGTTTAGGCACATACTTCGCTCCATGCAGTTTCGCTTGTCGCCAGAGGGGGCGTAGTTCTGCAAAAACTCAGAGACTTGCGTTTAGCTCCTTTAAAATGTGCAGATTGAGATTGGGGCACTGTGGGTTGAATTATTCTTTGCACATTGTAGGGAAGCATGTTTCTGGCTTGTGTGAATGTGGGAGTCTTGAGACTGTAGGGCATGTTTTCCTGGAATGCAGAAAGTATAGGGTTGAAAGAAATGTTCTCTTTAGTAAACTGTCAGGACATGGAGTTAAGGCTTTTTCTGTTTTATCTTTGTTTGGACACAGTGATGAGCATAAACTGATCTCCAAAGCAGTTCTTCAATTCCTGCATGACACAGGATTGTATGTAAGAATTTAGTACAAACTTTGACCCGTGGAGGGCAGTAATACGCTCAGCAGCGTCTACACTGCCGGAATCATATAAGAAGAAGAAGAAGAAGGTGAGTAATCAAGCATGCGCCTTTTGTGTAAATGTTTTTTTTTTTTTTACTGTCTGTCCTTAATCTTTACTGATCTCCTTAATATGTACCAAATAATTGTGATATTCAGAGCTTGAAGAATATGGAATGCCTGAAAAGGTATTTATTGTTAAAACCGATGCATTTTCACAGATGCATTCTCCTCTGTTGGCATTGGTATATAAATTATTAAGGTGACAAATCTTGTGAAACGGCGCACATTTACAGTCAAAGGTAACGTTAACCTGCAGTTTATGCAGAGATGAAGTTTGTGATGATTTTTGACAGTATTTATGAATTCACTACATGTTATACTTTTATTTTTAAATTGAGTACATTAAGAATGTCATGCAACCACTGTAAAAGTGATTTTCTTTACTCAAACTCAACTGCTTTATCACTGATAAAATTAGCCATCTTTTAACAAGATGAGAAAATTAGTAATGTTAAGTAATGTAACCCTAGTGGAACCTCTCATTGCATCAAAGATGGACCAGACCTTCTCAATGCGAAGATGTGAGATTGTGGATGCAGATGGAGCATTGGCCAGCTCTTTTTACAGAGATACCAGTAAGAACTTATTCATATCCCTTTTTCCACCATGAGAAAACAAACAATAATTAATTAATTAATTAGAATTTAGAATTGGCCTGTATGCATTGAAAAATTTCCACACTATCTCATGCCTTTTTTGTGCCCGTGTTGTAGGTGTTTGCAGAGTTTGACAGGATAGTCACCACAGATCTGCCGACTGCAGAGTAACTTTTAAGGTGCTGTGGATCGCAACACACCATTTTTGTCACAAGTCTTCAAGCATTGGAGAGAAATTTGATGATCTTATGCAGCAAATTAATAACGGGGTGAGTTTACTGTAGCCTTATTTTTTTATTATTATTCTGAGTTGATTATGGTTTTGCTTACAATCAACATGAGCGCTTTTTGTATTAATATTTATATAAAATAATATAAAAAAATATTTTGTATTTACTAAATCTTATCGATTTGTTCAAAGGATAACAACTGGCTGATCATGCATGAACAATACACACATGTATGCAGGGCAGATAACTGACAATTAATCATGCCTTTTCACTTTTCCTTGTTGTAATATTTTTATTGTTTGGTTTCATTCAGGTTTGTGATGTTGATGAAGCCTGGGCACAAGTATCTGTTGGGGTGCTGACTGTCATTGACGAAGAAGAATCTCTCTCTCTCTCTCTCTCTCTCTCTCTCTCTCTCTACCTTTGCCCACTGCCATCATTGTTGAGAGAGGTATTGTAATAATCTGCAGAACCTGCCTCATGCAATTTGCATCTATTTAGGTCTGTCTTGTGCTTTAAATTTGGATTACATTTGGATTACACAAAAGACATGAAAAACACTTGGTTTGGGACAGAACAAACTCCAAAACTGCAATCTCTGGAAAATCTCTTGTTAAGTAATGAAATGTGCAAGATTAATGATGTTTGGCATTAGATTAAATTTGTTTATGACATTGGAAATAGATTAGTTGATAGACAAATAAAAGGGAAACTAAGCCACTTGTTTAAAATTGTCAGCCCATTATTTCATGGTTAAGGGTTAGTTCACCCAAAAATGATAATTCTGTCAGTATTTACTCTCCCTCATGCCGTTCCAAACCCACAAGACCTTCGTTCATCTTTGGAACACAAATAAAGATATTTTTGATGAAATCACGTCTCACAGGTGTCGCTCATCAGCAATCACGCCAGCGGCCTAGCGCCACTCTCTCACGGCCCTCGGCCTCGTTCTGTTCGCCACAAACTACTCTCAACAATCACTTCGCTTCCATGTCATTCTCCTACACATACTTTTGACGATAGTGTAAACAGTGCAGCGCTTCTGGGTTCTATGTCAAAATGTAGGCTTATTATAGGCCAGAATCACACATGACCAGCGTTGGCCAATAATAAGCCTACGTTCTGATGTAGAACCCAGTAGCGCTGCACTGTTTCTCCTACGCTGTTGACGTATAGTGTAATGACGTTGAAGAGAAGAGATTGTTGAATAATGTTGTTATTTGGAGGGGTTTTTACACACAAATACTTTCTCGTTGTTTCATAACATTAGGATGAATGACTGTAAACTATTTTAACGGTGTCTTTACTACATTTCTGGGCCTTAAAAGTCACAATTACGTTAGTTTTTGGAGATACAGAAAGCTCTCATATTTCTTAAAAAAGATCTTCATCTGTGTTGTGAAGATTAACAAAGGTCTTACGGGTTTGGAACGGCATAAGAGTGAGTAATTTTTGGGTGAACTAGCCCTTTAAGATGGTGTCAGCGTATTCATTTCTAATGTACATGTGTGTCACAGACATTACCTTTTCATTGTTTAGGCTAACGAATGTAGCCACTTTTTTTGCACTTCTATACCAAGTTTGGTCTCCGAAGTGAGTAATTGTTATTTATTGAATTGTTAAAGCTGTTTGTTGAGGACGTGTTAGAGTCAGGGTATGGTCTCAAACTTATTTATTTTTATTCAGATTTTATATAAAAATATCTATATTGTTGTACTGTAAAAGGTTTTTGGGAAACACTTAACAATAAGGTTAATTAGTTAACATTAGTTAACATGAACTAAGAATTAACAATACTTCTACAGCATTTTTAATCTTAGTTAATATTAATTTCAACATTTACTAATACATTATTAAAATCAAAGTTTGTATTGGTTAACATTAATGCACTGTGAACTAAAATGAACAAACAATGAACAGCTGTATTTTTATTAACTATAACATTAACAAAGATTAATTAATACAATAGCAAATGTATTGCTCATTGTTAGTTCATGTTAATACACTAAGTAATGTTAACAAATTAACTTTATTATAAAGTGTTTCCGTTTTTGTTTTACTGTTTTTTTTTTTTATTGAAACCTAAAGTGATTTACATAAATTAATGCAAACTTGTGTGGACCACCCCTGTGTCAGTTTAAGAAAACAATACAATAAATTTACCTTTGAATGTATCATTGCCTTACATTTATTTGTCCAGTTGTAAATGTTATCTTTGTAAAACTGTGAAACTATTCTCAATCATTTATAATAGATGTGTACACTACTAGACATGGACTTGTTAGTTTTACATATTATTCCTATTTCACTTTACTCCGTTTTTTAAGTGCAATCGGTTTGCATGCTTTTTTCAAGTAAGCTGTACTAATTGGATTTTACATCAGAGTTAGCACAACTAGCATAAATGAGTACATCTAAAATAAAAGATCAAGTATAGTATACAAATTATTTTAAGTTATATGAACTCTCTTGTAAGTGTACACTACTAGACATGCACTTGTTAGTACTACATATTATTCCTATTTCACTTTACTCAGTTTTTTAAGTGCAATCGGTTTGCATGCTTTTTTCAAGTAAGCTGTACTAATTGGATTTTACAGTGAGGGTAAAGAGTACTTGCTGGTTGTGGATTACTTTTCTAGTTTTCCAGAAATAGCCCTGCTGTCTAACCCTTCAAGTGCATGTGAAGTCAACTTTTGCCAGGCATGGCATTCCTCTGGTTGTGGTGAGCGACAACGGCCCATGTTACAATTCCAAGGAATTTCAGGACTTTGCTGCTCACTATGATTTCAGACACATCACTTCAAGTCCTCATCATGCTCAATCTAATGGGAAGGCAGGAAAAGGAGTGCACATTGTGAAGCAGTTGTTGAAGAAAGCATCTGAAGAAAAGTCAGATCCATATCTAGCTCTTCTGAGCTATCGAGCAACTCCTCTGGAACATGGTGCATCTCCTGCAGAGCTCTTAATGAATCGCAAGATAAGAATGACACTTCCCTGCAAACATGACACAAAACGAGATACGTTGAACAATGCAGCAATAAAACAGAACGGAAGGATCTTCAAAAGAGACAAAAAAAAAGCACTATGACAAACAAACCAAAATGCTGAAGGTGTTATCAAGAAATGATATTGTGTGAGTGGAAAATGTCAACTGCTGGGACAAAAAAGCTGTTGTTCTGGAAGAAGTGAATCCAAGATCATATGTTGTCAGAACAGAGAATGGACAAGTGTTTAGGAGAAATCGCAGAAGTCTTCTTAAAACGCAAGAAACAAGCCAAACACTGACTGACACTAAAGGAGAAGAAGTTCTGGCCTCACCTGAAGATGTAACACCACCAAGCTGTCAGACTTCTTCATCTTCTTCCATTCCCCTGGACAATGGTCATTCAGCAGAAGCAAATGCATCTCCTATATTAAGAAGATCATCACGCGTATAATAAAGAAACCTGATCGACTTAATTTGTAAAATAACCCTGTTCAGTTACAATTGAAATGTGCCACACAAATGTGTCATTTTGAAATTTCTGTTTATCGTCAAATGGATAATTGATTTGTGTTATATTATTCCCATTGTTAAATGCATTTCAGTTTATATTTTTCTAAAGGAAAGGGGATGTGGTGATTAGGTGTGTTTCCTATGTCTCTCCTCTAGATGGCAGTAGAACCAAACATACAGTTAACAGATACCCAAGAATGTAAAAAGAAGAAACACAAGGATATGGCACAGAGAGCTAAGCTCATGGTTGTGGAATGTTCTGAAGAATAAAGAGCCTACATGCCAGTTCCAACATTTATTTGTTCAGAGTGTTTTAATCAATAAAACACCACAGCTACAAACTTAGATCCTCATTATTCCAGGGCGTGGGACCCACTCACCCTACAGACCTATTACAGATCAGTGGGTGGGACTTCACTTGCAGAAACTAAAATCATATCAGCCATCTTGTTTGGAAGCTAAGCTAACAAGCGCTGTGGAGATGGGAAGTTATGATAATGACGGAAACTAAACATGATATGGAAGAAGAGGATTTTGAAAGTCTGCTGCTCGAATCCGATGTTCCTGGCTATCTTTAAGAGTCGCAGTATAGTGAAGAGCAGCTGAGGCTGATGGAGGAACAGGAGGCGGCTGCCTGTCGCGGTCGAGGAGCCCAGACTGGCTCGAGCAGAGGCGGACTGATGGTGCTTGTGCTATTGCTGGGCGCGACGGAAACAGCTAGAGTCCGTCTGCTGCAGAGAATGTCAACAATGGCATTTTTTTCCTGGAAGAAATCTCTGAATCAGACGAGCACACAGACGTTTGTGTTGTGATCGTGATGTGAACCAACCTTTTGCCTGTCTGAACATCCAAGTATGATGCAGTAATTCGCCATAGCTGATATAGAAAGGAAAACAAACAGGAAGTAATTCACTAATGAGTTTGCCAATGTAACATTAACGGGGTTCGTTGTTGTGGGAAGAAGGAGGCGGGAACGGGTAAACATTTAAACATTTTAATAGTAAAATGAACAAATACAAAATGAAAGTATAAGCCAGCAGAACAGTCCCTCATTGACAATGACGACAGATGTCCACACACAGCATAAACAAAACACCACATAAAATCAAACCTGTTTCTCTCTCGTTCTGCTGCCGTTGCTCCTCCTTTATGCTTTCGCTCCTCGGTGAGAGACGTGAGACCGGTCGGTGTGTCTCATCACGGGGTTCTTTCAATATCACTCGCGCCACTGGCCTCGCGCCGTCCTCTCGCGCTGCCCTCACATCGCCCTCGTCCTGCTCGCAACAGCCAACTAACTTGAAATGCTGTCTGAGATGAATTTCAAACTCTGCTGGCAGCTAACATTAGCCTTGTAGATGCAAGAATGATTTCTCTGATGTTTTGGTGCTGGCTCTGGATTAGTGGGTGTGGCTTGCGGAGCTGTGCAAAGTGGTGCATTGTGGGAGTTGTTGTTTTATAAACAAATGTGCCCTTCAGTTATTTTATGTCTTTTCTCAGTTAAGAGGGCACCAAATTCAAAAATTATTTTACATTTCGACTACATATATGATCCACTTAATGTTGATATGGGTAAAATGCTCCTTTAAGAAGTGCTGGGACTTGGTATTGATCTTTCAGGAACAGTGCAGTATCATCTGCTAACTGGGATATTATAAAAGGGGGTTGACTGCCTTTTTTCTTTGCATGATTGTGTTTATGGGGTGCTATATAACATGTATTAGTGGTTTTTCTTTTTTAAAAAGTCTTATTTTTCATAAACTTCACCTTTATTGTCAGCCGCGCTCTCCTCTGTCCTCGAACGACCGGTTAACTTCCTGAGTCTATGAAACCACTCCCTCAGAAACAGGCAGTGGGCTCAGATTGGTTAGTTTGGCCCGGTGTGTTGTGATTGCCTAAACTGTCGCTCACAATGTCCGGAAGGTTAACGCCCATTACCTTTACGGACAAAACGTGCATGTCATGAGCTCCGGTCCAGATGTAAATAATGGTGTCGATACTGCAGTATCAGTTTGAGGCAGAATCAGACCGAGAAAGCGGCGATGAAGCGAGTCAAACAGAACCTCACCACACACGGCTCTTAATAAACGTTTCTGAATGATAATTTGCTACATTTTTTTACTTTATACACGTTTGTTTTACACAATAGCATCTGACTGGCAACAATAGCAACTGACTGGCTTCTAATGTTTATTTAAACAGCATTGGCATTAGTTTACGTTCTTGATCAAATCGAAAATAACTTCATAAAGCATATATACATGAAAAATACATTTACAACATTAGTACTTATACAAAAT